TGGAAGCTTATCCCCCGCAGAGAACGGACGTTTCTCCCGAGTTTTATTTAAAGTTATTCCTCACAAGGCCTTATAACTGGGTTATCCTCAGCTAACAATCATGGAAGATCGCACTCGCCAAAATTCTTCCTATCCCCAGCGGAGTTCATCAAAATTCCCCAGCTGTAACTTATCTTTGCAAATCCCCGGCCAGAGAATCCTCCGGAATTCAATTCCCCTCAGAGTTTAAGTTTCAGTGTCCCCAGCGGAGCCAAACTAATGAACCTTCTCCCCACAGAGTTTTTGGAGGGAAAATCTTAAGTTCCCCAGTGAAGTCGCCAGAGTTACTTCCCGCCAGACTAAAGATTCTCAGTCTTACGTCCCCAGCATGAGCCTATTAGATTGGAACTCCCCAGTAAAGGTCATCAAGAATTCTCTTCCCTAGCAGCAGCCAAGGATTTATTCTTCCCGGCAACAATCAAGATACTTTTATCTTCAGCCATCTCGAATTCATCTATCCCTTGCAAAACAGCTCTCCAGCTTACATGTACATCCACTTACATTCATATCATATAACATATATTGTATCATGCATCATGACATGGGATACAATTAACTCTTTACCTTTTCAGGTAAAATCAGTCGACAGATTAAAATCATTACCTTCCCCAGACTTTTGAAAACAGTTTACGGACGCTTCCCAACAACGGATGCTGCTCTATTGCTTATTCAACTTCAAGATTTCTGAAAACAGTTCACGGGTTCTCCAAGTAAACGGATGTTAACCTATCACTTGTTCAGATTCTTCTTCAAGACTTCTGAAAACAGTTCATGGATTCTTCCCAACAATGGATGTTAATCTATCGACTTATTCAGATGCAACTTTTGAAAACAGTTTACGGACGCTTCCCAACAACGGATGCTGCTCTATTGCTTATTCAACTTCAAGATTTCTGAAAACAGTTCACGGGTTCTCCAAGTAAACGGATGTTAACCTATCACTTGTTCAGATTCTTCTTCAAGACTTTTGAAAACAGTTTACGGACGCTTCCCAACAACGGATGCTGCTCTATTGCTTATTCAACTTCAAGATTTCTGAAAACAGTTCACGGGTTCTCCAAGTAAACGAATGTTAACCTATCACTTGTTCAGATTCTTCTTCAAGACTTCTGAAAACAGTTTATGGATTCTTCCCAACAACGGATGTTAATCTATCGACTTGTTCAGATGCAACTTTTGAAAACAGTTTACGGACGCTTCCCAACAACGGATGCTGCTCTATTGCTTATTCAACTTCAAGATTTCTGAAAACAGTTCGCGGGTTCTCCAAGTAAACGGATGTTAACCTATCGCTTGTTCAGCTTCTTCTCCAAACCACTGAAAACAGTTTACAGATTCCTCCCAACAACGGATGTCAATCTATTGCTTGTTCAGACCCCCCCAGTTCAGAGATGGTCCCAAGCTTGGACACCTTCCTGATATTCCCTTCCAAATGGCATCTCTAAGCCCATTCCCGCATCCATTGCTTTGACAAGTGCAAATTTCCGGGCACTCTAGTGTCCAATCTCCTTTTACCCTCGAGTCACGAAAGGCAAACTTGCCAATCTAACTCTTCGGATTCAAGAAGATTGAACAGGGGAAACTGTTGTACCCCAAAATTTTCCCTCCCATTTCTCATTGATTTCTCACCACAAAGCCCTTGAAGCTCAAGATCCAGTTAGGGTTTCATCTGCTCAAGACCTCTCCTTGCACTGTTGACTCAAATTAGGGTTTGTGTTTGCACAAAGATGCTTTGACCTAAAATGCCTAAGATGACTTTCATGCTTCATATTGGACTCCCAAGTTTATCCATACCAAGTTTCAAACTTTGATTCCAAATTTTGCCCAGTCAATTGGACAGTTGACCTAGAAATCAGCTGTATCAGGGAAAAAAGTCAACTGTGGCCAATTAACAGTCAAACCTCATGAAAATTGACCTACATCAACATTATGAACTCATATGGTCCATTTGATCAAGTTTGGATCACAACTCCATAAGAAATTTGATCAGATCACCAAAAGGGCAAAATAGTAATTTTTAGGGTTTTGACTGCACAAAGTCAATTCTTGACTGTTTGACCTAGCCAATGGCAAACCAAGCTCATATATGGACTCAAGGACCCCATGGAATTATCTTGACATGCTCAACAAGCTCAAAAGATCCCAAGTACACAAGGTTGACAGTTGAATTTCCCAGTCAACTGATCAATTTTGACTGTATACTGAAAAGTCAAACTTTGACTTTTTGGTCAAAATCAAGAGTCAAGATTCATTTTTCATCAAAACATGCCAAATCATGAAACTTGTTCACCAAGAAACCAAGAAATGCAAATTAGGGTTTAAAATGGAATTTTTCATAACTTAGAATTTTTTAAGTTATGGAAAACCCTAATTTTTTCACAACTTTGCCCCACTTTTTCACCAAGATTCATTTGGATTCAAACAAAAGTCAAAACATGAAAGTTGTAGCTTGTTGCATAATATACAACTTTTATTCACAAAGTTTTCTCATTTGAAGATTGTATCTCAAGTTACAAATTTTTGAATAAGGGCACTAAACCATTCTTAACTTAGTGAATTTTTGACCTATTTTGACAAGGTTTTCTACCCCACTTCAAGGCCATTTTCCATACACTTCCACTTGGAATTTCAAATTTAACTTCAAAGATGGATTGTAGTACACATTCCAAGCTTTCCAAAATGTCCAAGAACTTCTCAAACAACCTCATGGTTAGGGAGAATCGAATTTCACAATATGGCAAAGACTCACTTTATTCATGACCAAGTTACATGTCCATAACCTTGCAATTTGAACTCAGCATGCCTTAAGCTAGATTACAGGTCTTTTATCTCATCTACACTCCATAATTTAATGCCAATCCTTTGTGCCAAGGTGTTGTTCTATGAGTTTGGACATTGTATGCAAGATTAATCCATTTATAGATAAAGCATAATATCCATTCTTGAAAAGTTGCACTTTATGTCAAATTGAAAATCCAACAAGTACATTGCAAATCTGATTGGCACAAGATTATGAGCATAACACACTGATCAAGGAGGGATTATGCAGCACATTAGGGGGTCCTCTACATGCCTAGAAACAAGTTGGCATTTGTTGCTTAAAGTTGAATAAAAGTGCCATAACACATACCAACTACCATATCAGCTCAAGAACACTTAGACAAACTTATCAAACACATTCCATACAACACAACCAAGCTAATACACGAGCCCTTAGCCTTCAAAACACCCTCAATCTCAGAATCACTCTCAAACTGCAAAAACAGGGCAAGGCCTGCAGTTTGAGTATCATCTCTCAATCCCTTCAAACATTCTTGCCCAAACCAATTCACATACATCCCCTAACATCTATGCAAGCTAACCAAAAGCAAAAACACGACCTGTAATCCCTCTAACTGGTCCCACCATTTTCACATTTCTGACTTGCAGGTGAAGTTCCCTAGCTCGATTCAGAAGCTTTCAAGACAAAGTAAACATTGGAATAGCATCCCTGAACCTCAAGGAAGCTTTTCCAATCATCACCTTGCACTGAAAGTTCCTACATTGCCAGATTGAACTTCAACTGAACAGGTAAGTTTTTGAATTCGTATCTCTCTTATTAGGCATTGTTAGCTTTAGGTTTGTGAAGAGAATATGTCATAATCATTGCCCTGAACATGCCCATATAATTAGATTTTATTTATATTATGTGTGTTGCAAGAATTTGATGCCTGAACTTTGAACAAAAATTAGGTTAAAAATTGGGAGAGAAGAAATTCTCTCTCATTTCTGAGAGTTAGATCATGTTCTTTATATGTATGAAATCGTGAGATGATGCTTTACATTTTTTGTGTTGGAAGTTTGTTCAAAAAATCAAAGAATCAGGATCTTGATGTTGAAGCAAGAGGCGCGCGTATTTTTCAAACATTGTTTGCTGGAGGTTGAAGACAGGTCTTCTGGGCTGGGCCTGGAATATTTTTCTTATTTGCACCACATAATTGCTTTTACACCCCCAAGGCCCATTTGCTTATTTCTTTGACTTTTTGACTTTTTCTTTTTTGACTGACTTTGTTTATTTTTTCTCATGACATTAAAAATATAAAAATATTTTTTCTCACCATTTTTGATTTTGTTAGGCATTTATTTTGCTATCTTTTAGTTTATACATAAATAGATATATATATATATATATATATATATATATATATATATATATATATATATATATATATATATATATATATATATATATATATATATATATATATATATATATATATATATATATATATATATATATATATATATATATATATATATATATATATATATATATATATATATATATATATATATATATATATATATATATATATATATATATATATATATATGCCCCACATTTTTAGGACGTTCCTATCGAACACATATCCTACCTGTAAAGGGAAGATCGGGCAAGACCCTTATCTGTTCTTCTCATCCGTACCATACTCTTTATAGAGAATCTGTCAAAGAATATGAGACCTTTGCAGAAGGCAATCGGCCGGAAATCGATGCCTTACAGCATAATCTTGGACTTGGCTTAGCTTCCTCCAAAAAAGAAAAAGCTAGTGGTAGGCTACAAATAAGTGAACTTTAGGTAATAAAGTAACTAGTTATCTCTCAAACAACGGTTACGCCTTTTCCTAATGCCCTTACTAAACCACCAACTGCGGTTATTCCGCAAAGACCGGATAAGGCGCATCTATCTAATAGCGGACGATTTTCGGCAACTTCGGAGCCCCGCCTGAGAAAGAAAGAATACATTCCTCACGTCTGCACAGGCCTATGGGCTTTAGCAAGCCCCTTTCCAGTCGTGGCGTATCATTTCAAAAAGTTAAAGGCATATCACCGTCAGTGCGCTGTCGAAAAAAGATCAGTAGGATGATATAGGAGCATACCACAATAAGGATATTTTTGTACGCCTAGGCAGTGACTCTTCCATGTCAAATAGTCTTCCAGTTGAGATTTACGGTTCCGAGTTAGATTCTAATTGCGAGAAGGAGGAACTTAACTCCGATTGTGATGGCGACTGCCTAATAAGAATGGAGAATAGGGTAGGAATGGAAAGGGATAACGGCGGATAGTGAGCTGGATCCCCGGGGTCGCTTGGGAGCATCTTCTTGCTCCTGAGGATCATTATTTTATTTCATGGAATCTCAGGTTCTGAAAGAACGTAGTAAGTGGTTAACTTTGTTGACTCGCTCGTTAGAGGAAGTGAACGGTTGGCTCGAAGAGGGAAGAGATGCGCCGGGTCTTTCTCTTTGAATGGCGGAGATAAATGGTAACAAGTCAATAGACTTGCCTACAGACCCTACTTTTCTAAATCATACAGGATAGGGGAAAACTTAACTTCCTTCCTTGCCGTCAACCGACCTATAGTCGCTGAGATAGTATTGGTTCTATTCATCTGACCGTACTTCCATCCGGTGTTAAAGCTGCGGAGCTCGAGGGATGTCTTTAAAAAGGTCAAGTTTTTTCTTTTTTTAGACGCGGTCGAAAGAATACCTGAGAGAAGGATGGGCACTTCTAATAGTAGGCGTAGGCCCGTCGCCCTAAAACTCATACCTGTGATTAATAAGAATAATTTTCTGAGTGTCCCCGCCCTTCTTCCCGTACAGAGTCTGTCAAACTCAGCTGTCTTAAACGACATTGGCGCGGTACTCTGATCTGATCTACTCATATCAGAGTACGCCACTCGTGGTCAGAGGAGAGCCTGGAGGAGAATGGGAGAAAGCTTTTAGTTCGCCTTCATTCCATAGCTACTTAGTACCTCGGATCCCTTCTCCTTTGAGAACTACCACTCAAGACTGTTGGATCACTCATCAATGTCATCAGCTTAAAATTATGGCTTTGGGGAAGCCGATGCTAACTTGGCTGACACTGACACCGAGAGGAAAAGGCTTCTTTATGGCATTCCCGGCCTACGAGGTTCTTAACTAAACTCTGGGATTTGATAGATAGCAATAAGTTCCGCCGTCACACTATCTGGTTCAGGAAGTTCTCTAGCTTGATTTGAGCTCATTGGCTCACCAAGAGTCATTCCTTTATCGATGGGCAATAAAATCAAAGACAACTGTGAGGCTGCAGAGGGGAAGAAAGGATAAATTGAGAATAGAAGCTTTACGTCACCGGTTCGTTAGTAAACTGGGACACGTTTAGCATGGGTAAAGGTCGGTGAGAAAGTGATGATTTGAGGCGTGAATTCCACCAAGCACAACTCCGGCAGGGGAAGCTGTAGCTTATGGGGTGGTCGTGGTATAGCCTTTATAGAATATCCTCTTCCCCAGGAAAGCTAACTCAATAGGAATTATCTCTCTCGCCGATGCTATTGAATCCGCAGCTGTTGGTCTTGGTGGTAGGGATATAAGACCAACAGTGGCTGTGTAACTCCCCAATACTTCACCCCATGTTTCAAGAGGAAGGTCTATCTTTCAGCTCCTCCCTAAAAAGTGGAATGTACTGCTTCCTTTCACTTACCGTAGGGTATGAGAGTGGGTATAGGTTTGAGTACGGTGTACTAAACTCAATAGCTACAATAAATCATTGCTTGAGTTTAGGGCTGTGTAGCCTGGTGTTTGAACCTTCCTCTCACCTTCTCCTTGGCCTTTTCTCATGTGCGCTGGTGATGGTGCCTTACTAGAGGAACGTTTAGTGAGAATTGACCTCTCCCTCTACCTCTGTCACTTCCATCGATTAATTAAGTCCGTAGCGTCTACCAATTTTGAATCGACCCTTTGACTAGCTTTTCGTTCATCTAGAAGCTATATTTATTTAGTCGAGAAAGAATTCTATTCTCGCTGTATTATATAGTAGATACTGTATTATATCGTACCGTATTCTATTTGAGATGTTGTATTCTATTTGAGATGTTGTATTCTATTTGATCACTATTAGTCAGACTCATACTTTATTATTATACCATTACGACGTTTTAGTTCTTTACAAGTACGTACAATTACAGCTCTGATGACTTGAGATCTTTTTAAAGATGAATTTGGCACTGCTTTTTTGATTACAGCAACAACAATGTCACCAATATAAGCATACCTTCGATTACTAGCTCCTATGATTCGAATACACATCAATTCGCGCGCTCCACTATTATCGGCTACATTTAAATAGGTTTGAGGTTGAATCATATCCTTTTTTCTTATCTTTCAGTTTCAGTCAAAAAGTTGAAGTAAAAAAAATATTTTGTGTTCAAAAAAAAAACGGAGAATTGCCTTTTTTCATACTAAAGATCTCTTTCGTTCTAATGATTATTCGGAAAGAATAAATTGAGTTCGTATAGGCATTTTGGATGCCGCTATTGAAATCGCCTTTCTAGCGATATTTTCTGGAACACCTCCCATTTCATAAAGTATTTTGCCGGGTTTAACAACAGCTACCCAATATTCGGGCGATCCTTTTCCCGAACCCATACGCGTTTCGGTAGGTCTTACTGTAACAGGTTTGTCTGGAAATATGCGTACCCATATTTGTCCACCCCGGCGAACATTTCGTGACATTGCCCGTCGACCCGCTTCTAGTTGTCTAGATGTGATCCAAGCGGGCTCAAGTGCCTGAAGAGCATATTTTCCGAAGCAAATTTGACTACCACGAGAGGCTTTTCCTTTCATTCTTCCTCTATGATGTTTGCGGAATCTCGTTCTTTTTGGGTTATAGTTGATGGTTATTTCTCAATTCCATCTCTATTACAGAACCGTACATGAAATTTTCACCTCATACGGCTCCTCGCGAATAAATCGATTGAAAAATATTGAATCGAGAAAATAATAATAATTACTACAATAAGATACAACAGAATATAATCGCGGGATTTTTTTACATTTAATAGAATCTATTGATCTATTAGAAATTTTTTAATCTTGCTTTGATATATAACGAAATATGTATTCTTATAGACCATTTTTGCTATCCGTATCTAACTAGCTAATATTTTTGGATATAAGGTTCTAACGAATCAGTATTTTTCTTTTTTTATTATTATCATATTGGATTGGCAAAAATTTATCAATTCCAAAAAAATACACATTTTCGCGGGCGAATATTTACTCTCTCATTATAAATTGATTAAATTGAAGATGTAATGTAGGGTTAGTCCACAACTCCTCAAAAAAGAATGAATTCTTAGTTCCTTCCGCCATCCCATCTAATGAATCAGTAAGATTTCAAATTTTAATATAATCTTTTATATTCACAGGTTCCGTCGTTCCCATCGCTTTTCAATTTATGGTTAGGTCTAAATTCTACAATGGAGCCTCTTTAATTAAGAAGATTCCATTTTTTTTATTTTCTTATTTTCTTCTTTTTTGTTGAATCAACCTTCTCAGTTTTCTTGATTCGTGGCTCTTGATTCGTTTATTCTAGGAATATATTCATCCATATATGGATGAATTTTGAAGATTGATGCTTTATTACACTACTTTTTATGAGATGACCCATAGACCTTTACATAGGAGAATTCTATATCATTGATATCCTTTTTCTATCTTTCTTTCACCCCTTCATTTATCTGTATATTCTTATTGCTTTACAACTAATAATCTTATTTTTTTTTTATTTCAGTTGCTATAATTATATCATCACATAGATCCTTATTTTGATTTTAGATTTTCGGCGGTTCTTTATATCCAGATAATGGGAAGCGATGAGTAGGTTATTTATTCTTTAGTAATTAATTCGACGAATTTTTGTAGAAAATTAACCACTCTAAAAAAAAACCAACGAGTCACACACTAAGCATAGCAACTCCTTCATTATAAAATGATTAATTAATTTTTTTTTATTTAATCTTTTAAAATTTTTCATTTCTTCTTTGAGAATAAGAACATAGTAAGAATTCGTCATTTTTTGTTTTCTCAAAAGATGGAACGTTATAAGGAAAAGGTTATTAGTCGTTGTTTATAAATATCCAAACTTTGATTCCTAAGACCCCATAAATAGTTCGAACTGGATAGGAACAATAATCAATTTTAGCTCGAATGGTTTGTAGAGGAATCCTACCTTCTCTGATCCATTCGACACGTGCAATTTCGTTTCCGTCGATGCGTCCCGCAATTTGTATTTGAACTCCTTTTGTACCTGCACCTGCCTCTTCAGCGAATTTTTTTATAGTTTTTTGCATTGCTTTACGAAACGGAATTCTATTCTTTAATTGTCTGGCTAGAAATTCTGCAAGAATATTCGGGTCTCTATAAACATTTGGAATTCTTGTAATTTCAATGTTGATTTGTCGGTTCACACAATTTTTTTTTTTGTGCACATTAGTATGTAATTCTTCCATTCTTTCAGGGTTATCCTCTATTACTAAGTTTGGGTTTGGAAGTCCCATATTGATTATCACGTGAATCAGATCGCGTGTTTTTTTAATCTTTATTCGTCCAATTCCCTCGCCATCGACAGCGGTTGTTGTTTTTTGTATTTTTTGTATATAATTCTTGATACAATCTCGTATTATTTTATCTTCTTTTACATTCTCGGAATAAATTCTTGGTTGTGCAAACCAAATAGAATCATGACTTTGAGTTGTACCAAGTCTGAAACCAAGCGGATGTATTTTTTGTCCCATAATCCCTCACTACTCTATATAAAATAATACGTCTGATTTGTCTACTTTTTTATCTATATATATATTTTTTTTTTAATATCTTGATATATCTTTTTTTTTCTGCAAAGCATTAGTTCTATTATAATAACCCTTTCAATTTTTGAATATTATTAATTACCATTCACGCTTTGTGTTGTGAATAGACAAAAATATTTTTTGAACAAAGGGTTATATTTCTCTGTATTGGTTCTATTTTCACGAAAAAATAAAATCTGTTTTTTTTGATTGCAGAATAATACAATTCTTTTTGAGTAATTTATTAATTAATATTTATTAATGACTATTACTAAATTTATGTTAAAATGAATGTTAACGACGAGATCTATTATCATTTTTCGCAAAGCCTCGGAAGTTTCGAGTAGGTGAAAATTCTCCCAATTTATGGCCTACCATACGATCTGTTATATAAATAGGTAAATGCTCTTTTCCATTATGGATAGCAATGGTATGCCCAATCATTGTAGGTAGAATGGTAGATCTTCTGGACCAAGTTATTATTATTTCTTTTTCTCCTTTTGTGTTAAGCTTATTTATTTTTCTTAATAAATGATTCGCTACAAAAGGATTTTTTTTTAGTGAACGTGTCATAGTTAATTATTCCTCTTAAAATTTCTAAAAAAATGAATTTTTTCTCTTATATTTTTTATTTTATTTC